TGTGTCTGTGTTAATTGGTTTCCCTTTTCTTTGTTGAAGAGGGTCTGTGCAATCCTTCTGCCTAGTCCGCCATCTTGCCCCGCCTCCTTGCAAGAGAATTTAAGGGTCAGGAGGCATGTTTCTGTTAAGACTTCTGTTAAGGATCATCAGTTACATAATACTAAGACTCCTTATTTTGGAAAATCAAGTATGTATGAAAAATAGTACTGAGAGCTTTCTCATGTAAGTTCTTAGACCCTTTGCTGCCTGTAATCACATCATCAAAGTCTATAAGAACAAAGTAACTCAGCTTTGACTGGGAGAAATCAGCATATCGAGGCACTGTGAGAGCCAGTGAGCCTTTCCACGCTCCATCCCACAATGAGATCCTTGGTGCTGATTCAATGGGACACGCAAGTATGACCTGCTGATGCCCTGCTCAGAGAGACTGTGACTACCAGTCCAGGCTTCCCTTGCTCAGCTCTGTCTTTCAGTTGTTCTTATTATCTTCTTGTTGTTTTTAGGTGCTGTCGACTTGGACCCAACTCCTAGCAACACCTCTTTGGGTTCCTGAGGCAGTATCACTACAGAAGTAGATTGCCCAACCTTCCTTACAAGGAGTGGCTGGTGGGTTTGAACCACCAGCCTTCTGGTTAGCAGTCAAGTGACTTAGGCACTACACTACCAGAGATCCTTCTTATTATCTTATTAACAAATATTTTAAAAACTAATTTTGAACATTCCTTACTTGGAGGAGCCAGATGGATCACATAACCATCTCCCATGTAGATGGCCCAATCCTTGTAGCCAACATGAAAAATCTCGATCAGGTCTCCCGGCTCTGGTTCTCCACAAAACTGCAACAGGAAAACCAGAGATGGTGTGGACAGCCTATTAGAGAAGTTCATAGACCCTGATGGGGGAACTACAGGTCAATGTTGTGTACCCCTTACTGATGATGTCCATCACATGGTAAGAATCCAGGCAGGAGAGAGCTTCTGTCTCTTGGGGGATCCCCAGACCTGATATCACTCATAGAGGTTTCCTTTATGGGGCCACCAGGACTGGAAGCCTGGAAAGTGACCCTTATAGAAAAGGAGACTTAGCCAGGATAAGTACGTGTTAAGTGTGTATGTGCATATGTGTATGTGTGTATGTGTGTGCACATGCAGTTAGAATTCAGATGTGCCTGCACAGGTGCATTGTGCGTGTGCTTCTGAGCATCCTGACTAGGGAGTGTGTGTGGACAAGCACCTCCACTGAGGGGGCCACCACAAGGCCCATCTGGAGCCATCAACAAGTTGAGCCTTGAGAGTCTCTGCTCTTTGCACACAGATTGTCAGTCCCTTGCCCAATCCTCTTGTCTCATGACTGTTAATGGTCACATGAGGTGCTCCCTCCTCAGACTCTACCCCTATCCACCTCAAGACAACCATCCCTTGGAGCTAGCAACCTGAGAGACAGCATCTTAATGGGGTCTGAGCTCCTGTGGGGCCATCCAGCTCCCAGCAGTAAAGTGGGCTGACCCACTGAAGGAGTAGGACCTGTAGGGAGTACTTTTCCTGCAGCCCTCACAATAGCCCAAGGAAGAAGGAATCATTACATTGCAGAGGTAGAGAGACTAAGAGTCAAAGAGGTAAAGGAATTTGCCCAAGAACAATCAACTGGGAAGCATGTGAGGTGGTCTTCTCTGCTCGGTCTCACACTGGTCTTCCATTGGCACCTGGCTTCCTTCCTTCCACATCTCCATCCCAGTTCTCAATATCCTGCCCCCAGGCACCCCAGCTTCATGAACCTAAGATTTTTTTCATTCATCTTGTCTTTTGTTCCTGATCTCAGTGAACAGCAAGCCCTTCTCCATCCCTCATTCCAGCCTGTCCAACCAGAAGCCAGGGAGTCATGCTTAATTTTACCCTCTTCTCAGGCCAATGTCCAATCCCCAAGTGCTGTCCATGCTATACCTGCAGGTTTATAATTCATTTTCTCGCCCCATCTTCCTTTCACTGGCCTGGTTCAGGGCAGCCCCATTCCTGCCTCCATAAACACCCCTGCCTCCTGTCCCTTTCTGTCCCTGCCTTTCCTCACCCAGTCTCCTCAAAACCCTATGTGGCTTCCCAAAGGGACCATCCTCTGGCCTCAGCCACAGTACACACCCTTTGGGCAGCTCACAGGACCGTCTCCATCTCCCTAGCCCTTCTCCGTACTCTGACCTCCATGCTGACTGCAGGACTTACAGTTCCCTCACGACCATGCTCTCTCTTGTCTAGTCCTCTGCACATCTGTTCTCTCTGTCTCCAACCACCTTCCCACACCCACTCATCCTCTACTCCTCTCCTGTTATGGATTGAATTGTGTTTCTCCCAAAATATGTGTTGGACTTCTAACCCCTATAGTTGTAGATGTAATAAGATGCAATGTAATTACCTCCCATAATGCAGTCTAATGTGACCAATCAATCAGTTTAGGTCCCACCAGTGTAGGGTGGGTTCTATACCTAATCACTTCTGAGTTATATCAAGAGCAGCATAGACACAGAAGCAAGCACAAACAGGGGGAGACAGATGTCACACAAGAAATGCCAAGGAATTGAGTCATGCTGGGACTACATCGGCTGAGATGAGGATTATCCCATAGAGCCAACAGAGAAAGCACCTTCCTCTGGAGGTGACACCCCGAATTAGGACATCTACCTACCTGAGCTGTGAGAAAATAAATTTCTCTTCTTTACAGCCAACCCCCTGTGGTATTTCTAATAGCGAAACTAGAGATCTAAGACACTTATCTATCAGACATCTCTTTCTTGAGCAGCCTACCCTGCCAGCCTCAGCCTGGCCCACCTGCCCCACAGAGCCCCAGATCCTCCAGGGTCCCCACCTCTCCCTGACACACATGCCTATGCCTGCACCTGCCTGCACTCCCTTCTGGGCTCTGAGCTTCATCCACACAGTAATCTTGTGCTGGTCCTTCCAGGATCCAACCTGTTATGTCATGGGACAAAGAAAATCTAGAGAGAAGAGGGAGCGAGGGTCAGCAGTGGCAGGACTCCCACCAGCTTCGGCTGTTCATCCCAAGGCAGCACAACAGCCAGGGCTCTGCAGGACCAGAGACAGCTCTGCTGCAGAGCACAAGGGGACTTTTCGTTCCATCTCCAAACGCCTAAGGCCTCAGCCAGGGCACTATCAACAGCAGCCAGGAGAAAGCTGAAACTGAACTTGGGCCTTGCCTTGATGAGGAAATGGTTAGGAGGCTGCCACTAGATAGCGCCTGTGTCCTTCCAGAGCCATTCTAGGTACAACTCCTTTCCTTTGGGATAAGAGACATACCCTCCAGCCATCTTTCCATTTTCCAGAATTGTATGAGGCCAGCTTGTTCTCTTTCAGCCTAATACCACTGAGCGGTGTCTGCTGCTTCCTGGAGATGTTCTAATTCTGGACATTGGGGCTACTGGGCGGGGATAGTTCACAGAACACAGGCACTTTATAAGGGAGGGCGAATGCTATGGATGAAAGAGGAGAGAGAGGAGCTGTTTGCAGAGAGAAAGGATTGAACCTCAGCCGGCTCCAGAGGCACTGGATGGGATCCACTCCCTTCCAAGAGACTCCAGGTCCCTCCTTTGAGTGTCTTCCTAGCTGCGTCTAGTGAGGGGGGAGCCAGCCCAGACAGACACAGCCCCCTCGCACCATCCTGTGCACCCTTCTCTGGGCCAGGCCCAGAGAGGAGGTTGACACCGCCCAGAAGGACAGGGATGTAGCTTTTTATAGATACATTGCCCATGAATGCCTTCAGAAGGTGAATGCTGGAATTAACTATGCCTGTGGCCAACAATTCAGATTGAGGCCTTTCCAAGAGACAAGGCCCTCCCTCTGGGCCACGGATAGAAAGTTCCAGGAACTTACCAAAGCCATCTCGGAAGGAAGGTGGTGCGTCTGGTGCTCTGCTGCTGTTGGTCCGGCTTTGAGATCAAGGCTGAGGAATTCAGTTTCCGTTTCCCTCGGACACTGCTCAGGAAGATCACTGCTTTAAAAAAAAAAAAAAAAAATGTTTTTTTTACTCTAAGGGGAAAGCTTAATGATTCCCACCATCAAAACATGGAATCATTGGTGCTTGAAAGTCATCTGAAAGCGGTGAGATTATCATGAGAAGCTCTGTATTTCTTCCTGTCTTGAAAGGAAGGTCTCTTTCCACAAGAACTGTGGGAACTGTTCATGTCCCAGGAAAAAGAAACATTTAGAGACAGGGATGTCCATCTCCCAACACACGTTGTCCTGTAGCAATCCCCAAGAATACTGGGCCAGAGGCCATGGGGGAAGACAGAGGGATCCCTGCACCCACGAGAAAGCCGTGCAGGTGGTGAGTGCCTTGCATTCTTTGTCCCTTAGTATGCATCTGGCAGCAAGAAACAGAATTAACTAAAAGTGGCTTCAGCAGTCTGGACGTTCATTTTCTCAGTAAGAGGGAGACAGGGAGCAGGTTGCTCCTCTCCTGCCTCAGCGTTCCAGAATGTGACTGGCCATACCTGCCAGCAGTTCACCAGGGCCACAAAGACCCAAGCACTTCATCCTCCGCACTGTTCCCATGTGTGCAGTGACTTTCTGCATGGTCCAATGTGGCTGTAAAAATCAAAACCAAACTCACTGCCATGGAGTCGATTCTGACTCATAGCGACCCCTTTGGGTTTCTGAGGCAGTAAGTCTTTATGGAAGTAGATTGCCCAGTCTTCCTTCTGAGGAGTGGCTGGTGGGTTTGAACCTCCAGCCTTCTGGTTAGCAGTCAAATGCCTTAGGCGCTAGGCCACCAGAGCTCCTTGAACATGGTTGTGCCTGCCTCCAAAATCACACTGTCACACAGTAATGTCCAAAGACAGGTGTTTCTCATTCTGCCTCTCTTTTCATCAGGAGCAAAATTTCTCCCACAACCTCACAGTTGACTTGCTCCCACTCTTCACTGGCCACTCCTGAGACATATTTCCATCCCCAAACCCAGGCTGTTGTCTAGACGTTCATTGTATTGGCGGGCAAAGAGGAAAGGGCTAATCTGATAGGCTTGGTCCATTCATGGTGCTTCACTTGGATCTGCAAGGGAGCTCTTTTTTGCATAATTATCAGCGCTCTGTTAGTCTGGGAGATGGTGAATGTAGGTGGTAAGGAGAAACATGACTACTATTTAGGCCACCCATAAATCTAACATACTCACCTATCTCCTAATCCACTGTAAAAATATAGGTTTGTTATAGAGCTACAAGGAGACTAGAACAAGTTCTTAAACAACCAGACCGGATCCCCATAGAATCTGGTGGGAGGAATGGGGAAGAGTGACTCACTGGCGTCCTGAAGAGAATGCAGTAGCCGTGCTGTGATGATCAGGGCCCCATAGGCAGAACTCATGCCTGGGGACTCGGGAAAGGAACTGCCCCCTCCCAAAAGTATCTCCTGCACCCAGTCCCCTCATCCAGACACAGACCACAGACAACAGTGCTAAGTCCTTTGCTCCCTTGGTTTCAGCCTCAGGCGTGGCATCACTCGTGTTGTTTCCAACATGGACCCTTCAATTTCCTATGGATGCTCCTTTTTTTTCATTTGTGAAAGGGAACCTTGGTGGACAACGGTTAAGCACTCAGCTGCTAACGGAAAAGTTGGTGATTCACACCCATCAGCAGCTCCGTGGGAGAGAGATATGACGACCGGTGGGTGTAAAGATTACAGCCAAGAGAACCCTGTGAGGCAGTTCTACTCAGGCACTTGGGGTTGCTAGGAGTCAAAAATCAGTTTGGCAGCCCCAATAACAACAATAAAAGTGTATAATAATTGGTGAGCAGTCTCTCCCCGGTATTGAGGTGAGGTTCAAAATGGGGAGAAAA